ATCTGTTATAAAACAAAACAGGTTGTTCTGTAGTTTCAGCAATAACTTATGAAAATTATGCTACCAACGATTTCTATATTTACAGCATAAAAGAATGATGGATTATTTTCAAAACTTCGTATGTTTATATACAACCTAGTGTCACATGTGTAAACACTCCTCTCACTGATATTGCAGCTATAAAATTAAGACAGTGTACATCCGTACGTAATACACCTCCTTTGTGTTTTTATAACCTCGATATCACAACATCATTTGAGATCAAAAGAACTGATTGGTCCTTAAATATTGTGAAACATAAATTCAATACTTTTTATATATTTTCGTTTGCTTGTCGCTGACGTCACGTGTTATATGTAACTCGCGGAAACTCGACCTAATGAGACATGAACAAGCGTAACTCATGTACTCGCTTACTCTCAATCCTCTTAGTCACAAACACATGTAACTCGTGTACTCTTGATCCTATCAGACACGAACGTGTGTAACTCATATACTCGTGTACTCTCAACCCTATTAGCCACGAACATCTATAATTCATGTAATTTTGATCCTATCACACACGAACGTGTGTAACTCATACACTCGTGTACTCTCAACCCTGTTATACATGAATATGTGTAACTCGGGTACTCTTGATCCTATCAGACACGAACGTGTGTAATTCATGTACTCGTGTACTCTCAACCCTGTTATACATGAATATGTGTAACTCGGGTACTCTTGATCCTATCAGACACGAACGTGTGTAACTCGTATACTCGTGTGCTCTCAACCCTGTTATACATGAATATGTGTAACTCGGGTACTCTTGATCCTATCAGACAGGAACGTGTGTAACCCATATACCCTCAATCTTGTCAGATTCGAATATACGTAGGTCATATACTTTCGACTCTATGAGATACGAATAACTAATATACTATCAATCCTGTCAGACACGAACATACATAAATCGTGCACTGTCGACGATGTAAGACAGAAACATATCAAATTCTAGTATTCTCGGCCTTGTGAGACACGAACAAATGTAACAAATGTACTTTCGACTCTCACACAGACATTAGTAATTCGTGTATTCTTAGACTCTCAACCCTATTAAATACGAAATATGTGACTCTTGTATTCTCAAAATGAACATATGTGACTCGTGTATTCTGAAAATGAACATATGTGACTCGTGTATTCTCAATATGAATATAGGTGACTCGTGTATTCTCAATATGAATATATGTGACTCGTGTATTCTCAAAATGAACATATGTGACTCTTGTATTCTCAAAATGAACATATGTAACTTGTGTATTCTCAATATGAACGTATGTAACTCGTGTATTCTCAATATGAGCATATGTGACTCTTGTATTCTCAAAATGAACATATGTAACTCGTGTATTCTCAATATGAATATATGTGACTCATGTATTCTCAATATGAGCATATGTGACTCTTGTATTCTCAAAATGAACATATGTAACTCGTGTATTCCCAATATGAATATATGTGACTCGTGTATTCCCAATATGAACATATGTAACTCGTGTATTCTCAATATGAATATATGTGACTCGTGTATTCCCAATATGAGCAAATTTGACTCTTGTATTCTCAAAATGAACATATGTAACTCGTGTATTCTCAATATGAGCATATGTAACTCGTGTATTCTCAATCTGAACATATGTGACTCGTGTACACTCGACTCTGTCAGACATCAACATATATTTTGTTTCTTATTTCATGAACACACGTTCCTCAGTTTGTACACTGTTTCGCCTTTTTAGCAATAAGTCCAATGTTTAATTGTTTTAAATTTCACGCAAAGCTCGCCAAGGACTATCTGCGCTAGCCGTCCCTAATTTAACAGTGATAGACTAGACTCACTAGAGGGAAGGTATCTAGTCAACACCAACTCTTAGGATACTCTTTTACAAACGAATAGTGGGATTGATCGAAACATTATAACGCCCCCACGGCTGAAAGGGCGAGCATGTTCGGTGAAGGGGATTCGAATCCACGAACCGCAGATTGTGAGTCGAGCGTCCTAACCATTAGGCCATACCAGCCCAGTCTAATGTCAGACATTACTATGTCTTTTTTATCAACGTGCCACACTGGCGAGTCGTTATTCTCGGACCTAACGAATAAATTTTCATGTTTTTTCTTTGTATGAAATGTAGCGCTGAATATATAGTTCGGGTATATTAAAAATTCTAGTTGGTGTAGTTTTCAACCCTAGTTCACTACAAAAAGTTATGCCCATTTTATTGAACAAATCTAGACAATTCCTCTAAGCCAACTATTTTGGCATTTTTTTTAATACTCAATGTTTCGTTTCTAAAATCTAGTTTTGAGCACTTCGTTACAACAGTTACGTGAGCTGTCAGGTATTTTTAAGTCATTCGAGAGAATCTCGGTTATGGTATTGCTAGTATTTGGTTCGTGCAAATAACAAGTCTTCAGTATTCTCGTTCCAGGGTCTTTAGGAAAAACCAGTGTTATATAATACACGTCTATTTCAAGTGAGAAACTCAACGTCTTATAATCTACATACAAGCTACAGGCTTCGTTCTCTTAGGATTTGTGTTACGTAAGTGAAAACGTTAGGCCTAACTCTGGTGCGAAGTTTTTCTTTTTGTGTGTAG